TGAGATAGAGTCTCACTCTGTTGCCCAGGCTGGAATGCAGCGGTGCAAACTTGGCTCACTGCAGCCTTCATCTTAAAGAAATATTTCTGATAGTAAAGAGAAGGGAAACTCTGAGAACTTTTTTTTTTTGGTTTGTTTGTTTCAGACAGAATCTTGCTCTGTCATCCAGGCTGGAGTGCAGTGGCACAATTTGAGCTCACTGCAACTTCCTCCTCTCAAGTTCAAGCGATTCTACTGTCTCCTGAGTAGCTGGGACGACAGGTGCATGCCACCATGCCTGGCTAATTTTTTGTATTTTTAGTAGAGAAGGGGTTTCACTGTGTTAGCCAGAATGGTCTCAATCTCCTTACCTTGTGATCCACCTGCCTCGGCCTCCCAAAGTTCTGGGATTACAGGTGTGAGCCACCGCGCCTGGCCAACTCTTAGAACTTTCAAATCATACCAGTGAAGTGATGGCCTAGTCCCATCGGTGAATACAACAGACCCTGCTTCTGGCCAGTGGAAGGAGGAGTGAGCAGTGGTCTGTTCCCACACCAGTGTGAGCCAGCACTCTGCCTGCAGTGGGGTTGTAGCTGGCTGCCTTCTCTCATCACCTGTTTCAGCCACCTGGAACAAGCCCTAGCAGCCTCAGACCAAGTCATTCTAGGCTTCTAACTACTGGTGACCCAGACAGTATGCTCACACCTTGTGGGTGTGATCTGGTATTCCTCATATGTGTTTGTGATTTTCTTTGGCAGGCCAAATAAGTGATCACAGGGCTTCCTAAGAAGGGTGATGGATGTAGTATATACTTGCTACAATGGGCTAGCAGACTGCAGAACTCGGGTGGCAGATTCTTAGAAAAGTCTGCATGGATCCAGTACCTTTTTACCATAGAAAAGGAAAATAAGTCATACATACCACACATGTGCATGCCCTGCCCCCAGTACACACACACACAGAAATTCACCTGTAATCCTATCACTGATTAGCCCAGGAGAATCACTATTGATATTTTGGTGTAGAATCTTTTTAGTTTTTTTGTTTGTTTGTTTTATTTCTGAGACCATGCTAAATACACTTCCTTTTACCTACTCCTTTTAAAAAATCAGGCCAGGCACAGTGGCTCATGCCTGTAATCCTAGAACTTTGGGAGGTGAGGCAGGCAGATCACCTGAAGTCAGGAGTTCAACACCAACCTGGCCAATATGGTGAAACCCCATCTCTACTAAAAATTAGCCAGCCATGGTGGCAGGCACCTGTAATCTTAGCTACTCGGGACGCTGAGGTGGGAGAATCGCTTAAACCCTGAAGGTGGAGGTTGCAGTGAGTTGAGACCACCCCACTGCACTCCAACCTGGCAACAAAGGGAGACTGCATCTCAAAAAAAAATTTTTTTTAATTAAAAAAAAAAAAAAAAAAAAGAAATCAATATGCTGTGAACATTTGTCCATGTCAATAGAGTTATGGCATAATTTTTAATAGCTGTGTAGTTTTTAAATTATGCTTTGTTGGACATTTCAAGTATTATTTTCCAGTGTTTTGTTTTCTGAGGGAGCTCACAAAATTGTTCGCAGGAGGTATGTACAAAAAGTAAATCCCCAAAGATATTCTACATTGCTTTCATTCTGTGGGTCTGGTTTTTATATTAAAACCATAGCGTCATGTAGCATGCAGATACCATAGGGAAGCAGGTATCTCAGGCAAATTCTTGGATACCTGAGCATCCTGGGCCAACCCAAGGAACCAGCTCACTTAAGGACCCTCTCCGGGTGGTCCTCAGAGGGCACCTAAGAGGAATACGTCTCTCTCTGGGGGAGGTGTGATGGGTTCTTATGAAGGTAGGGGCAAAGAAAGAACAGGAAAACAAGTCCAAACCTTCTGAGATTTCTTATTCTCTGAGTAAGTGTATGTTTTATTTAATCCTATGGTTCTTTGAGATTATTTCCACCAGTGCCCAAGAGTGAGTGGAAAATTTTTAGCTCTGAGGTTTGAGAGGATTAAATGGAACCCAGCGCTAGGAGCATATTTTATGCAAAGAATAATTCTTCATGTATTCATTCACTTCTGCATTCAACAAACAGCTGCTAAGGTCTTATCATGCCAGGCACTGGGATAGATGCTAGAGACACGCAAAAGCTGTGGTTCCTGTCCATGGCCTGGACAAGTGGGAGAGCAGATGTTGAGTATTTCACACACATCTTCCATATTCTACTTTGTTTAGGGCCAATCGGGCTGGTCACAATGCTCGTGGCCAAGGCAATGGGAGCATCTCAAGTAGTGATGACTGGTAAGACTTTGTTCTTTTTCACTCTCCTTGACTGGGAAACAGCTGGGCCTGCTGTATGTGTATGTGTGAGGAGAGGCTATCTGTGACTGTGGAGGGGGTAAATGTGTGTGCCCTGTGGGTTGTGGAGATATAGAAGGGTATGAGTGTTTTGTGTTGGGAGAGGCTATCTGTCAGGGAGAGAGAGAGAGTAGCTGTGTGGCAGATATGTGAGTGTGTTTGTGTGAGGAGAAGCTGTGAGTGTGTGTCTGTGTGTAGCTGTGTGGTGGATATGGGGGTGTGTGGAGATGAAGCAGCAGTGAGTGTGTGTTTTGTGTGAGGAGAAGCTGTGTGAGAGTGTATATGTGTGTAGCTGTGTGGTGGATATGGGGGTGTATGAGGGTGTAGAGCAGGGGTGTCCAATCTTTTAGCTTCCTCGGGCCGCATTGGAAGAATTGTCTTGCCACACATTAAAAAAATACAATAACACTAATGATAGCTGATGAGCTAAAAAAAACCTCAAAGTCCTGAGCTGCATGGGGGCTGTGGGTTGGACAAGCTTGATGTGAAGAGTGTGTGTGTCGGGCTCAGCACCACCGCCCACTGCACCGGAGCTTTGCTGCCATCTGATCTTGCACCTCCATTTACTTTTCTTCCTAAAGAGTCATCAGATTTCTCTATTTCTCTGATTGAAATAAATTTTTTTTACCTTCAGATCTGTCTGCTCCCCGGTTATCCAAAGCCAAGGAGATCGGGGCTGATTTAGTCCTCCAGATCTCCAAGGAGAGCCCTCAGGAAATCGCCAGTAAGGTAGAAGGTCTGCTGGGATGCAAGCCGGAAGTCACCATTGAGTGCACCGGGGCAGAGGCCTCCATCCAGGCGGGCATCTACGTGAGTGGGCTGAGGGCAGCTTTCAGGAATCAGTGTAGGGGAGTAAAGGAGGCAGAAGTAGGGAGTGAAACTTCTTTACCAACTTGCTGTGTGGACCCCAAGCCAAAATGGTTCATTTTTTGCTATCTCTGTTTTCTTATCTCAAACTTGCCTTACATCCTCATTGGGCCATCTGAGGGTCACACAAGATAACAGCTGTACGTGAGCCTTGAAAAAGGTTAAGGACACACACCTTTGGGATGGGCTTGGCTTCGTGACAGGAAACCATGTCTTAATTTAATGTGGGAAATCCCTATCTTATTTTATTGAGGAAAACTGTAGCCTTCTAGTCATTGATCTAAAGTGACAGTCATGAATTCAGTTAGTTATGAAGGTGAAGTGATTTTCCAGGGTCACAGCAGGCTACTGCTTGTATTGTGTCCCAGAACTAGGAGCATATAAGCTGCCAATGCCTGACTCACCCCTCAGCGACCTACCAGCCACTTATGGGACGTTGCCAGGAAGTAGGGGTGGTGGAAAGGAGTGGCGTTGACAGATCGAAGGATGAGGAAAAGAGGGCAAAAAGAATAAGTTCCAGGTTCCAGGCCCTACAGTATGCCAGGTTCTCTGCTCTACTTTATGAACATGATTTATACCTTTGCATAATACGCCTGAAAATCAGTTACCATTATATGCTGAGGGATTTGTGGTTTGTTTGAGGCAAGCCAAATCTTGCCCAGGCCCAGGCCCAGCCCTGCCAGGCCCCAGTGCCTGAGCTGCTTTGCTACTTAGAAGAGGAAGGGAAGGAGGGGACCAGCAACCATGAGAGGGTGGGGAGGACGGAGACTGTCTCTGGGGAGGGTAGCAGGCAGCTGCCACCACAGGGAACTCCCGCCCTTGCCTCCCAGACAGCTTCCCCACGGTAGCGTGGACTTCCTCCTTCCTTCTGAGTCACAGCTGATTCATACATGAGGGCACTTCACATCACATGAGACATTCTAGGGAAGGCTGACCCACCAAGCTGAGTAGCAGAGCTACCTTGACCTCCTCCTGCAGAGTTGCCCAGTGGCCTTGGGAGCTGAGGAGCAGTGATGGAGAGGGAGGAGTGGGTGCCATCTTGGCACTGTCCTGAGTTTCAGCTGGAGTCGGCCAGCCCTCTGCTTCACTGTCAGGGACAGTGGTCACCATGTGGGAAAGGGCAAAAAAAAAAGCTAAAGCTTAGAGAGGAACAACGGGTCTGTGTGTGACTGAACTACCCAGGGTATGTCTTAGGTACCTGCTATGTGCCAGGCTCTGTGCTGGGCACTTTGAGGGCTAAGACATGAGTAAGTCGTGTCTACTGTCTTCAACTTGTCAGCAGGTCAGTGACCTCCACACCACAGAGACAGTGTAAGCTGGGGGACTTAAAGGACGTGGCCCTCCTTCCTCTTATGCCCCGCCCTTAGAGCATTTGGGACAGTTGGCATTTCCAGATGCTGATGGTGGGGGCCTGGTTGCCAGGCTACCTGAGACAGGCATGGAGGTGAATGTAACCCATGGGCCTCACCAGGCCTGAAGCAGTGTCTCTCTTGATGTAGGGAGTGGAACTGTCACGCATGACAGGTGCTGTAGAATGCTACAGGCCACCCCACCAATGAGCAGGTTAAGTGACTGCATCAAATATGGACATATCTGGGCATCGCCGTCCTGCCAGGTTGTGACTGGATAGTGTTTGTGATGAGACGTTGCAAATGCTTTGGGGCAGAATTGATGTCCTTTCCGTGGTGCAGAGGCCATAGCTACAGGACAGTGTCCAAGTGGTTCCAGCATCCCTTGACCTGTGGCCAGCACACTGCTGGCATCTTGGCATCTTGGGATGGCCAGTTGGTGTTCCTCCTTATCACCAGGTAGAGAGGAAGTACAGATGAGGAAGTAGTTTCCCTGGAAAATGGGCTGAGAGGGCACGTCCAGGGTGCCACAGCTCTGAAGCAGCCGCACCGGGAGTCACACCCACACCACCCGAACCCCGAGTTCACCTCTTGCTCATGGCACCGCAGGCCTCGCTCTGTGTGTATCCTTCCTCTCAGAGGTGGAGGCTGTGACGTGTGCCTTTCTCTAGTTTCACTGTTTAGCACCTACAGTGGTCCCAATAAATGCTTGCTACTGACCATCATCAACACCCAGCGTGAATGAATTGTCCCTTGTCCTGTCTCTCACCACACTTAGCACAGTAATCCCCAGAAAGCCACGGAACAGGCACAGCCCTCACAGGGAGTTCTGGGGAAATTGTCAGGAGAAATTTTTACTGTCACCTCTGACCCATTCCAAGGGGAGAACTGATAAGCCAGATAAACATTCAAGGAAGACAAAACCCATTATGGCTCATGCTGTTGAGGTAAACATCTCTGGAACATAAAGGTTTCTCACTGCCAGCCTGCACGCACGTACACAGCATTTTTTAAACCACAGAATACAAGTGGCCCATCTGTACCATGTTTATAGTTTCCTCACCACCGGTGAGCTCAGAGGGCGGGTGGTTCCCTCGAGCTCTGATGAAAGTGCTGACAGTGGAGGGGCGCTCTGGGGGTGCTTCCACAGGTCCTGACTCTGGAAGTGGCTGAAGCCAATATCGGGTCTCGAATCTTTGGAAGGCGTTCCCACTGTGCCCGATTCTCCATGGGTTAAGTGTATTTTTTCAGAAGCTTTAAAGAAAACAGTGTTTACTCTGCCGTTTGGTTGGCAGGTTGAGCAGTTCAGCAGTATACAAAAATCATATTCTCTGGAATTTTTGGATGCTCAGCTGATGCAACCGGCAGCTACTTGTGTGATGACAGTATGTTATTTTAAGTGGGAAGTCAGTGTCTGCTTATCTTCTGAGCTTTCTTGTTTTTACCTCCTTTTCAGGCCACTCGCTCTGGTGGGACCCTGGTGCTTGTGGGGCTGGGCTCTGAGATGACCACTGTGCCCCTAGTGCATGCAGCCACCCGGGAGGTGGATATCAAGGGCGTGTTTCGATACAGCAACACGTGAGTATGCTGCGGGTTGAGCAGGATGTCCAGCCTCCAGCAAGACCAGGTCAGGCCCCACTCAGCCTCTGGGCCTACCAGTCTCTGCCTGCTTGTTCATGGGGGTCACTCTCTGGCCACACTGACAGCTGTGTGATATAACAGGGATCCAAAGGAAGAACACTCACTCCCAGTTAAAGAATGGGAGGGACAGAAGGATGGATGGAGTGAGGGAGGGGATTTTGAAGCACGCTCTTGCTGGGTGTCTGCTGCTTATCCTCCCCAGAACCCTTGAAGGTTGAGTATAATGCTCATGCTCTTTTACAGGTGGCCGATGGCGATTTCGATGCTTGAGTCCAAGTCTGTGAACGTAATGCCACTCATCACCCATAGGTTTCCTCTGGAGAAAGCTCTGGAGGCCTTTGAAACATCCAAAAAGGGATTGGGGTTGAAAGTCATGCTCAAGTGTGACCCCAATGACCAGAATCCCTGATGTGAATTGGCTCTGCCCTCATCCTCAGTCTTGGGAATCTCAGGACAGAATGGCTGGACAGGGGTGGGCTTTGATGCAGAACTTTCTGTCCTGAATGTTAAGAACAATTAATACAATTCATTACAAACAGAAGGCCTTACACAGAGGAATTGGTGTGCCTTAAAGATACAATTTGGGATAGTTTTGGGGAACTTGTAGCCAGAATGACCTGTTAATGCTGAGCAAAGTGCAGCAAGTAGAGCAAAGTTTGGCAGGCAGGTGCCAGGAAATTCCCTTCTTCCTGGAGTGCCTTCCTTGAGTAAGGAAGTCTGGCCCTTGGGTTTCCTGGTTCCACTGCTAATGACCAGGAGGGGAATGAGGGCTGAGTTATAAAGAGACAACTTCTTGAAGACTTAACAGGCCCAGAAGCGGATTTTCATGGAAATCTGCTACTCAGGGTCTGGGATGAAGGCTTGTCAGCACTTTCAGTTTAGAATGCAATGTTCCTAGAGACACATTGGCTATTTGGTTTGATGATAAAAGGAGAATAAAAAAAGGCATCACTTTCCTGGATCCAGGATAATTTTAAAACCAACCAAATTAATATAATTCATTATATTAATATATTAAAGGCTATAGGTTAAACCAGCTTGCATTCCCCTAATATGGAAACATTAAGAGGGCTTCTCAGCACTGTGTGAAGATTGCCTCTTCTTCAACTCCTGAGAATTGTGTTACTTCACTTGCCAAGTGAAGGACCCCCTCCCCGACATACCCTGTCCCACCTCCAGGCATGGTCCCTTGTCACCAGGCAGCCAAGAAACTGCTACCTACGGACATCACCAGAGACCAGGAGGGTTTGGCTGGCTCACAAGACTTCCCTACCCTGCAAGATTATCATCCCCTCCTAGGCTCATACTCACTGATGATTATTAGACAATTCCATTTCTTTCTGGTTATTATAAACAGAAAATCTTTCCTCTTCTCATTGCCCATAAAGGCTCTTGGTATCTTTCTGTTGGAATGATTTCTATGAATTTGTTTTATTTTCATGGTGGGTTTTTTCCTGGTAAGATTTGGATCCAAATCACATCATGCCCATTTGTGACTTCAAGATTATTCATCAAGAATGAGGATATAGTAGCCATGACATAGCTTGAACTATGACCTTTAATCCCTTACTTTGGCTGCAGGTGGAGGGTGAGTTTGAAGAGGTTCTGATTTTCTTGTAACTTGGGAAAGCCATGTCCTTGTGCCTGAATCTTTCAAAGTGCTTTGGGTAATAAATATTGTTCATGGTATCTGACTCAAGCTACTCTTTATGCCGCTGTTTAGGGAGGAATGGACTTAGGTTACCCATTTCCCAGAGGGAAGGATCCTAGGATTTTTGAAGGTGACATATTTTCTGCACCAAGTATAATTTCATCGACATGAATCATCTCTAATCCTCACAACAAGCCACGTACACAATCACTTTGTAAGTAAGGAAAATATTAAGTGCCGGAAGAGTCCTTAAGATTGTTTAACACAGCCCTTCAGTTAACAAGGGAGAAAACTGAGGCTCAGATTGGGGAAGTGACTTGGCAAATCACACAGTGGGTTAGTCAATGGCCCAGGATCAGACAGAACCCAGGAATCCTGGCATCAAATTCTTCACAACATGCTGCCTCTCAGAGGCCTGAGGGGTCCAGTCCTAGAGGACAAATGATGCTCCCCATGCCACCACCCCCACCAAGCAGCTCCTACTGATGAGAAAATGCACTAAGCAGTCTTGGTGGAAACATCATCCTCACACCCTGCGCCCACTTGCAGGTGCCTAGGGAAGGAGCTCAGTGTCTGCTTCAGTCAGGGCTTTAAGAGGAGAAGGAAGCTAGGAGTGAGGGGCAGAGGCTTCACCAGAGAATGTCCACTGGTAACTTGGAGACAGTTCCTGCAGACTATGCACTCCTAGCCAAGCCATTTCACTGCTGCCCCTTCAACCTTCTCCTCCCTGAGCCCTAGGAAGAAGTCTGTTGGCAAGATAGCCCCCAAAGATGACCCTGACCAGTCCCCACCACCTGTAGCCAGACTCAGCCTTGGTCCCAGCTAGCTTCTAGTAGTGAGCATTGCTTCCCTGTTATTTGGCCTCCGTACTTTCAGCCTAGGTTGACATAAGCAGGGGACAGTTCTTAGAAAAGGCAAATATCCCATAAATCCTATTTGCCTCCTCTTCTCCTAACCTCTGGCTCCACCAACTCCCCAATAGGACTTCTGTACACACAATAGGAGCCAGGAGTGAGGATGGCAGGACTGTGCTACACAAGGGAGACTGGGTGGGGAAGATGTCACAGAACAAGTGACTGAGTCCAGAGGTGACCTCACACCAGCATCTGCAGCCAGAGGTGGGATGCAAGAGGGAATTTCTGGCACCAACATGTCCCCTTTCTCCTCTGGGGTTTGTGGAGCAGCCCGCTGCTTGCTACCCTCCCGGTTTCCCATAGGGTTCTTCCCAGCTCTCCACCCTGACACTCCTTCACTTCTTAGCACTGGTGGTGCTGACTGGGTGGGGTCCTCAAGTGTTGACTGAAAGCATAAGCCAATTGCCAGGCACTGCTGACAGAGCACACAGAGGCTGCCTCCCAAGGTCAGGGAGCTTGTGGGGAATTCACACTCTTGGTTCCGGGAATGATATCACTGAGTCAATCAATATTGATTGAGCGCTTAGGTGGTAGCGGTGGTGGTGGTGGTAGGAATGAATTCCTGGGCTTCCTGCAGCCCCTTCCATGAATCTCTACACATATAAAATATGTACATGCATTTGTAAACATTAATGTGAGTGTACTTTACTTTTTTCGTTTTACTTATAACAGATAAGGACTTTTATTTTATTTTATTTTATTTTTTTTTTTTGAGACGGAGTTTTGCTCTTGTTACCCAGGCTGGAGTGTAATGGCGCGATCTCGGCTCACCGCAACCTCCGCCTCCTGGGTTCAGGCAATTCTCCTGCCTCAGCCTCCTGAGTAGCTGGGATTACAGGCACGCGCCACCATGCCCAGCTAATGTTTTTTGTATTTTTAGTAGAGACGGGGTTTCACCATGTTGACCAGGATGGTCTCGATCTCTTGACCTCGTGATCCACCCGCCTCGGCCTCCCAAAGTGCTGGGATTACAGGCTTGAGCCATCGCGCCCGGCCTAGGACTTTTAAAAAAATCATAATTTTCATGCCCACCCAGGACACCAAAAAATAAAAATAAATAAAATTTTAAAAATCACAATTATTAAATAATTCTCATTACTATACCTGACAAAACTAATGATAATTTCATAACAGCTAATACCCAATCAATCCATGCCATGTTTTCCCTAACCTAAGAAGAAATAGAAAAAATTACTTTTTTTCTTTTTCTTTTTTTTTTCAAAGGCAGGGTGTTGATCAGAGTCACTGCAATATTGAACTCCTGGGCTCGAGTGATCCTCCTGTCTCAGCCGTTGGGGTAGCTGGAATGACAGGCACGCACCACCATGCCTGGCTACTTTTAAAAAAGTTTTTGGTAGAGAAAAAATATTTAAAAGGTCTCACTATGTGGCCCAGTGTGTTCTTGAACTCCTGGCCTCAAGCAATCTTCCTGCCTCAGCTTCCCAAAGCACTGAGATCACAGCATAAGGCACCATGCCCAGCCAAAACTTTACTTTTTTACACTTGCTTTTCTGGAATCAGGATGTAAACATATTGCATATGGTTGATATATGAAGCCTCTTTTATCTTTTATTTTTTCTTCTTTCTTTTTTTTTTTTACCCACCATTTATTTATTTTATTGCATTTTAGGTTTTGGGGTACATGTGAAGAACATGCAAGATTGTTGCATGGGTACACACGTGGCAGTGTGATTTGCTGCCTTCCTCCCTGTCACCTACATTTGGCATCTCTCCCCTTGCTATCTCTCCCCAGCTCCCCATCCCCCCCATCCCTCCCCTATTTCCCCCCAACTGACCCCAGTGTGTAGTGCTCCCCTCCCTGTGTCCATGTATTCTCAGTGTTCAACACCCGCCTATGAGTGAGAACATGCAGTGTTTGATCTTCTGCTCTTCTGTCAGTTTGCTGAGAATGATGGTTTCCAGGTTCATCCATGTCCCTACAAAGGACACAAACTCATCGTTCTTGATGGCTGCATAATATTCCATGGTGTATATGTGCCACATTTTCCCTGTGCAGTCTATCATCGATGGGCATTTGGGTTGGTTCCAGGTCTTTGCTATTGTAAACAGTGCTGCAATGAACATTCGTGTGCACATGTAGAACGATTTATAATCCTTTGGATATATACCCAGTAATGGGATTGCTGGGTCAAATGGAATTTCTATTTCTAGGTCCTTGAGGAATCGCCACACTGTCTTCCATAATGGTTGAACTAATTTACACTCCCACCAACAGTGTAAAAGTGTTCCTATTTCTCCACATCCTCTCCAGCATCTGTTGTCTCCAGATTTTTTAATGATCGCCATTCTAACTGGCGTGAGATGGTATCTCAATGTTGTTTTGATTTGCATTTCTCTGATGACCAGTGATGATGAGCGTTTTTTCATATGTTTGTTGGCCTCATGTATGTCTTCTTTTGTAAAGTGTCTGTTCATATCCTTTGCCCACTTTTGAATGGGCTTGTAAGTTTTTTTCTTGTAAATCTGTTTTAGTTCTTTGTAAATTCTGGATATCAGCCCTTTGTCAGATGGGTAGACTGCAAAAATTTTTTCCCCTTCTGTTGGTTGCCGATTCACTCTAATGACTGTTTCTTTTGCTGTGCAGAAGCTGTGGAGTTTGATTAGGTCCCATTTGTCTATTTTGGCTTTTGTTGTCAATGCTTTTAGTGTTTTGGTCATGAAGTCTTTGCCTACACCTATGTCCTGAATGGTTTTGCCTAGATTTTCTTCTAGGGTTTTTATGGTGTTAGGTCTTATGTTTAAGTCTTTAATCCACCTGGAGTTAATTTTAGTGTAAGGTGTCAGGAAGGGGTCCAGTTTCTGCTTTCTGCACATGGCTAGCCAGTTTTCCCAACACCATTTATTAAACAGGGAATCCTTTCCCCATTGCTTTTGTCTGGTTTGTCAAAGATCAGATGGTTGTAGATATGTTGCGTTGCTTCCAAGACTTCTGCACTGTTCCATTGGTCTATATCTCTGTTTTGGTACCAGTACCATGCTGTTTTGATTACTGTAGGCTTGTAGTATAGTTTGAATTCCGGTAGTGTGCTGCCTCCCGCTTTTTTCTTCTTTCTTAAGCCTCTTTATTATAGCTCTCCCTACATTTTGTTTTACATGCCATTGTTATGTTGAAGAAATCAGGTCCTTTGTTTTCTTTTTAAAAATTTTTTTTTCTGTCCAGAATTCCTGGAGGGTCCTTTGTTTTCTAGATGCTGTTTTTCAAATGTACTTGTTTTCATTTAATAAATGGCTAAATTTCTTTCTACATCAATAATTATACATATTATTTTAAATCACCACATCCCATTATACAGATATACTATCATCTATAAAGCAAATCGCAATATTTTGAGTGTTTGGATAGTTTACAGAGTTTTGCTCTTATAATAAAACTGCAATGACTACCCTTGTTTTTGTGCTCCTGACTTCTTATTTCCTGATGTTATTAATATGTTATTTCTTGAAGTTGCATTTTAGAATGAAAATAGTTGGGGTGAAGGGTACACACATTTTTAAGGTGACCTGGTTACACAAGAAAACACAGTATTGACATTAAGACTGTCTAAGAAAATCTCTGTGGGTACCCCAGGCCATGTATGATGTGGGAGGACCCTGGGGTCTTGGGTAGCTCACAGGGGCTGCTGAGGATGAGGTCATGAAGCTACTGGCTGTCTGGCTTCAAGCCACTCTTGGGAAAATAGGGGCTTGGACTCATAAACTTGGACAGATTGCTAATTTTCCAGGCCTCAGTTTCCTTATTAGTAAAATGGGTGGTCCCTTTTGGCTCTGGGACTACTGCCAGGACATTACAACAAACAGCTCCTGTAAAGGACTGGCACAGAAATCATAGGGAACCATGGCCCAGCTACTGTGGAGCAGTGAGCCCCCCATCAATGAACTGGTACTGGAAGCCTTCCCCTACCCCTGCCCCTCTACCTCAATTCCAGGGGACACTGGGTACCATTCACCAAACCTTTTTTTTCTCCCCCAGGTTTATCTTACAACCAAACCCAAGCAGAGGCTGCCCCACCCCAACACCCATTTTACACAAGGGGGGAATGCCAATCAGAATGCAGCAGCATGGCTCCCTCACCCCTCACCACCTCCATTGCTCAGGGCACTGTGGGGA